GCTGAACCTGTGACTAAAACTACCAAAAGATGGGGAGAGGGAGGGTGTTTCACCACAAAAATAATAAATTAAGCTTGTCTTCTTTTTTGAAAATGGTTAGCCATTAAACCAGACTGCTGCCCATCTAATTGCTTCTTTAATCTGGTCGCAATTTCTGTGTGGAATTCATATAAATGTGTGTGTGATATGGAGGCAACTGGCTAATTTTGCAGCTGCTGCAGGAAGCGGTTGCTGTGGTCTCTGTGGTGCACTGAGTAACATGCTTCCTTCTTCCATTGAGCATGCCTTGAGCCCCTTCAAGTAAAGCATATTCTTAATTTGACTGGGTGCCTAACATGCAATCTTTTAACAGCATATAGTAAAATATGATGCTCAGCTGACTGAAAATATTCTCCAGATGTGTGTTCCCTTCAATTGAAGGGAATTACGATGTCTGGAGTTCATACATGACCTATTTGGTGACATATTTAATAAAAATGTTACTTTATGAGTTATTAAGATTACAATATCATTGTAAATGATTGCAGAGATTAGGTGGTAGCATCCTCTGAAACAAGCAAAAGAGATATGCTGTTCTACTGACTGGTTAGATTATGAATTCCATACAGTGTGTCTGCAAGAATATCTGAGACGTCTGTAGCCTATCTGATACTTTGTGGAAAACTTTCTGAATGTTTCAGTGGGATAGTGACCAGGGCACCCATATTAGAGTAACTGACTGTGACCAACCTGTGTTAGATTTGAGTTGGAAAAGTAGGCGATGGAAACATCTACATCCAGTTTTTAATTCCGTGTGATGTTCTGTGACTGGTATAGACAAATCTAAGAAATCTCCCGTTACTGATGTGTCTTGCACCCAAACAGCTGAGGTGTTTTGGGAAGAGTATGCTTGCTCTCATACCTCAGTGATGACATCCCTGGATGTGTCTTACTCTCATTTTGAGGGTATTTGCGACTGATGCAAAAGAAAGGATACTGATTTATGTACATTTTATTGTTTTCTGGGTAAATGATTTTGAACTGAAAGAATTAAAATGATGAAAAGTTATTCTTCTGTTTTCCAGACTACTAACGTCTTGTTTTATACCTGCAATTATCAGGAATTAAAGAGAAGTGTGGAGAAATCAATCTTAAAAACTTGTTCAAAAAGGCTGATTGTGTATTGCATTGCTGGCAGTTGCTGCTGTTCCCACAGTAAAGAGATTTCTTGGGTGTCTGAAGGAAATACATGTATGTGAGGTGTAGAGATCTGCAGCTGAATGCTGTTTGTGTACTTTGAGGAAAAATAAATCTATTTGTTTTAAATGGAGTGTGCTGAAGTAGACTTTGTGGAAGTAAAATTCCTTTTACAAGGCCTCAGCATTATAAGGTCATGACAACCATATTTAATTGGCAAGTATCTGAATAATCTGTTTGTACCAGTTGTGCAAATATATTTCTGTATTATAACAGTTCAAAGGCTGAAGCCCTACAACATTTTGTGTATTTTGTGCTCCTGTGTGCTCCAAAACACTGTTATATGAACTTTTTTTTTTTTCAACTTCTGTTCTTTTGAAACTAGAATATTTATGTCCAGGTAAGTTTCTGAAGCAGTGGGAATGCAGGTCAGAGTCTCTTGCTTCTTCTCCACCACTCTTCCTTGGATGAAAAATAAAGTGGTCTGTGCTCTTGCTGTGTTTGTAGATTCTCAAGATGGTCTTGCCCTCCTAATGTTAGTAGGCATTGTATTTGTCTCATTTCTATTTCAACATGTTTTGTTAAACTAAATGCTTAATACAAAGTATTATTCTGCTGTTAATGTGTTTTTCCAAGGGTTTGCAAGTAATACTTTGAAGAAATCTACCATACAGTGAAGAATGAAGCAATTCTTGTATGCATACCTGCATGTATGTTGTGAAGTGTCTTGTAATTGTCTTGGATGAAAACTGGAGGAAAAAAAAAAATCATATTTAATTCGAGAAATTCTGCAAAACAGTTTCTGTTATGTCCAAACTACTCAAAATGGTTCCTTTCCCTTTTGCCCTTATATTTGCCAGTCTTGTATATCTGGTAGCAGAATGTAATGCTAGAGCAGGTATGGTTTCACAAGGACAGTAAATAGTTAAACTGAGCTTCAAGCTACTTGTTTTCTGCTTGTAAGAATTATTTCACTGTTGTCAGCTTTAGCTCTTGAAGTTATTGAACAAAATTACTTAAATTTGATGCAATATAATATTATCAGATTGCAATAATTTTTAGAGTGTAAGAGACCAGGATAACTTGTAAAAGTACATACCATCAGTCTGTTCTGCAGAGGAGTCTCTATTTCAACAGAAAGTTAAACACTATCAAAACAAATTGTGAGTTTTTTGCCTATTTTTCATCTAACATCTTCTAGACCAGGGGGATGTGGTCTTGAAATTAGCTTTCTACTAGATATTGATATAATAGTAGTAACTTACAGATGGTGGTCTAACACAAGGTGGAAATCTAACTAGCAAATTGCCACTTAAGGGCAATTAGAATTTCTTTAGTTCAAAATCCGACCTGGATGAACCAATATAGATGTATAGAATTCATGACAGTAGGTGTGGCAGGCTTTGTGGGCACTCTTTGAAATCAAACCGAAGACAATACAGCAGAGACCATAAAAAAAGTGTAACTCTTTTATTTTTTGCGTGTTTCTGGGAGTACCATCGGTGGCTTCATTCTGGCTAAATAAACAAATGGCCCGAGTAGGCTGTATTTTTGCTACCACTAATTCTTCCTATGTTTGTTAAAGGTGAGTTAGATGAGGTGGTATGAAAAAGAAGGAAAATACATTAATGAGTATTTTGGTATAAGAAGTATGATCTGAACATAGGTATTGAAGCCAGAAATCATAAAGACTTGCACAACTGTTTGAAAAAAGCTGCATGTTTGTTTTTTCACATCTTTGGCAGCCCTCTTTCTCTGTCTCTTGCATGTCACTGGAAAGAATAATCTCCTCAAAGGATGGCTATGAGAATGAATTGACAGCACACTTCTTAGATATTTCTGGACCAGACTTTACAAAGTGATCTTTTACTGTGTTTTGTACTGAGAGACAAATGAGAAAGTCCTTTGAATGGCTCCTGATCTTTAAAAAAAGCTTATTCTGGAGTGTATCAGAATGAAAATATAAAATAATGTTGGGTCAAAGTATTAACAGTAGAATAGAAGAAATATGACATATTTGCTAAAATTATTTTTACCTGAAAGGAAACAACACATTGTACGTAAGACTATAGATGCAATAAATATGAAGCTGATTGTATCAATAGGAAAGTGAGATTGTGATAAATTCTATAGCAGTGAAACTGATGTAGCTATGACAAATATTTACTATATTGTATTATGTCACTGGATCAACGAGACAGAATCTGGACAGGAAACTGAATAATCCACTTACAAAAGTTTCCTTTTTGCTCCCAATTCTTAGGTATCCTACATTAGTCAAGACTGTGAAGAAATTCCAGAATTCCTAGGAAGAATATATGGACATATGGCAAAAAGGCTAGATCTTAGCTTCAACTTGTTAAGGTATGTGGCACTATATAGACTTTCAAGTGCAATATGGGACATAAACTCCAAAAATAGACTGTTTATTATTATTATTATTATTGTGTTGTGTTTTTTTTTTTTAATAGAAGCATACATATATGTCAGCTGCATTTATTTCTTATCAAGTGGACGACACTGTTTTTAGGCAATGTTTGTCTCTTTTTCTTGCACACATGGAACACAAATAACCAGGTGAGTTTGGAAATTTCTTGTGTTGACAAAAGTGATACCCAATGAAAAGGATATGTTTGTTCTCTGCTCATAATGGAAAATTATCTGAAGAAGTGAAGAATGAGATCAAAAGTGAATTGTTCTTAGCCAGAATACAAGTAAGTGTGTGCTCCTTTCTTTTTCTTTTTCAATCTTTGGTTAATACTATAAATGGTTTGTAAAACTCTTTTTGCAGATTATGTGTTTTTGTTGTATGTTTTTGGGCAGCTGTATAGTTATGAGCTAAAACTAAATGCAGGTAGAATTTATAAATAAAATATTTTAATGTATGGATTGATTTAGAATTCTGGAGCATTCCCATTAGATATTACAGTCTCCTTTTTAATTTAGTTTGGTGTGAGAGACCCTGGTGAGGTCCAGCAGTGTAGCATTTGAGTTTACAACTCTGTAGGTGAGGGGGGGGGGAAAGGAACAGAGTGTAGTTGCTCGTTTAAGAAAAAGCATAGTTTTTTAGTGGCAGAGTTGGACTCTTTTGGTTTTTCCTTTTTTTTTTTTTTTATATAGGGTAAGCTTAGTGTCTGCTTGTGAGAAGAAAGACACACAGAAGTAGTGTGCCAGTGCTTTTTTCTCCTAGAGGGAACAAGCACTGATTTGAACTTACTTAATACTCATAAATGCTATCCTGAGTCACTGTCAGCTCTGAAAGACCCAATTCCTACATGCAAGTGGTAGCAGAGCAAAGAAGGCACTAAGCAATATGTGGATTGCTATACTTCTGTTATATATACATACATACATACATACATGCATATGTACATACATACATACACACACACACTTCTGTTTTACTTCTAGCTGATTCAGTGATTCTATGGAAATTGTAATGAGAAGAAAGAATTTTGCTGGGGGAGGCAACTGAATGGACTTTTTTTCATTTCGTCATGAAGATAATTTAAGTTCTGCTTGTGTATTCAGATTTAACGTCATCAACAAGACTGCTCCTTCTTAACACCTTTGGAGGTACTACCTCTGGACAAAAAAAAAAAAAAAAGAGTTTCATGTAATACATGGTTTGAATAATAGTTCATCTGAGTTAGTTTTATTTCATAAAATAAAACATAACATTAAATCTAGATGTAAAATTCCACTTTGAAACTCTAAGTCATTAGTTCATATTTTAATTGAGAGCTTAGCTGGTGGTATATTTGTCAAATCTGTGTTTGTTTTCATCTCTTTTCTCCTTCCCTATCCAAAATTCTATGACTTAGCCTATTTTTCAGAAGGGATATAATTTGGTTTTATTTGGGTTTGTGAGGGGAAAAAAGCGTGTTAAAATAATTTATGGGGAAACATGAAAGAAAGTGCTAGTTTTTGGGGTGGCTGCAAGTGACTTTTGATGCAGGATAGCTTACTGTTATAAAGCTATAAAAGTATTCTAATGCAAAAAAGTCAGGTCTAGGATGTGTGGGTTTTTTTTGTTGGTTTTTTTTTTCCCTTTCTTCTTTAGCTTAGGGAAGCTAATATGAAGTATGATGAGACCAGTAATGTTTTCTTATTTGAGTGGTGATAGATGTACTAGGCATCTAGTAACTAGGAATGAAGTATTTATTATACAGTAGCTGTTCAGACTTGTCTACACTCATATGTGAATACTATGTCTGCATATTATAGAAAGAGTCAGATAAAATATGTAATAAATGTCATAGCCTTAAATGAATGTGAATACAGAAGAGATGTCTTGGGCAGCTGTTGAAGCAAGTGTAAACAGTAAGATATTTTTTTGACTCCTTTAAACAGATATTGTTGTTTGAAAAATCTGACAATGCTGTAGCATAATAATGAGTTTTATCATTTTTATCAGTGAATACTTAATTTGAAAAGTTTAGTACGTTGTTTTCAGTGTGGAAGAAAATCTAAACATCTCTTTAAAAAGGAGTCTGATTTTCTAGAAAAAATTGCTATCTATTGGTAAAGTGTAAGTTGAGTGAAGGACACCAAGCGTGATCCAAATCTAGAAAAATATAAATATAATATTGTGCTTTGCTGGCACAATATTTATTTGCAGTGAAGATATTAGTTTTCCTTACACTGTGATTCATTATTAGATGACCATATGTGGGTGTTCTTTGAAAAAAAAGTATTTTAGTGGCCACTAAATTTTCAGACTGCATTTAAACCAGAGAAATGTTGAACTATTCAGCATTTGCCTGGTCTTAGTGTTAGGCATAAATAAGTACTTACCAAGCTTTTTTAATGTTGTTTTGCATGTAGGGTTTCTGTGTCCTATCCCCTGTAAGTATGGTTACTGCCAAGTGTATTTTGGGAAGGAATCATCCTTCTGTAGCAGGCAATAAATTCTGTTATGTTAAAGTGTCAGTAGAATTTCTGACACCATAAAAATTACATTAAGAATTTAAGAAATTGTTCTTCAAGGGAAGATTTCTTATTTTGTGGGCAGCAATATTTGCAGTCATGTTATTTGATATTGCTACCATGGGTGTAGTTGCATGGAGAGAGATCTCTCTGTCTGGTGTAACATGTTCAGCTTTGTAGGCAGTTGACAGCAAACCCTTCTTGCAAGACAGCGCTGTGCTATCTCAGCCAGGAGTTGTGTGCTGTTGTAGACTTGCAGTCTCTCCAGTATCTCCAGATACTCATCCACATGAGACTCTCACCAGAAAGATGTATTTGTACTGCATGATACAGATGTCACAGAATTTTCTTATGCAGTGATATAATGTAATACTTGATTGTAAAATTGCTGTAGTGAATCATAGTGGTTTTGATACCACTGTGATGCAGGTCACTTTGTTGCAGAAGTCAGGATAGAGCCAGGAAAGGGTTTTTTTTGCCATTTAAGGCTTTCCACTGTAAATGTATGTTTTCGGAGGTTTGTCCAGGTGTACTGGAAAAAGGGTGGAAAGACTGGATGATGTTTTTACTAAAGTGGGAAAAACTTATTAAAAAATGCTGTATTTTGTGACTTACATGCAAACAACTTTTGCCAAGCTAATCCCTTAGTAACATATTTCAAGAGATGCTGTTGTGTCTTTCTGGGAAATACAGCTTGTTTTGTACAAATCAAGGAGTTTCTTCCCACTACCCCCTTTTTAAAAAGAAACAAACAACTTGTTGAGTTGATACACATTTGATAATAATTTTTTTAAAAGTAGAGATATCTTCTAATTTCTTACTGGTTGTTATGGCACTTCTGTCTTTCTTTTCTTTTTCTGCAACGAAGAGTAATTATTGTTACTCTATTTCTCTGATTTTTTCTTTTTGGGTGCAATGTAAACACAAATTTACACGGGACCAGAGAACTAAATTGGAGGAAGCAGGGGTTGTCATTGGTTCTTTTGTATTGGCAATTTAGTAGAAGAAAATGTATATTTTTCAACATTTTTTTTCTGACTTCAGCATTTTTCCTAGTCTAGAGCTCCTTTCTTTTATTAAATTAAATTAGGGCCTGTGTAGATGCCTAATTGTCTTTGTATCAGATGTGGTAAATCTAATAACAACACTTGATTAAATAATCACAAAACTTGGTCTTTAAGGGAATTGTCTTTCTTGTTTGCCTTTTTGCAAGGGCTGGTATCTCCTTGATTACCCTGAGTGATACATAGATCCAACTCTCTCTTCTGGCAGCCAGAGCAAAGCCACTGTTACCAGTTACAGCGGTGATGCCTCTCTTTTTCCCAGGAGGAAAAGGAAAGACAGAGGTGAATGGCAAAAGGGAACTTTTTATGAGGATGTTAGAGGAGAAAGAGGTGTGGCACCTCTAGGTATTGTGTATGGGGCAAAGGGAAAAAAATAACGTGTACTTAAAAGCGTGTGAGTTGTAATCAGCACTGGATTTCCTCCTGTTTACACCTCTGGCAGACAGAAATCCTTCAACCCCAGACCATGATAGTCCACTTATTAATTATTTCTTCTTATACTGTTTTCCTTACAGATCTTTAAAAATATTTTCTAATGGCTTTTCTTTCCTTCTGGGACTAATGGGAGGTTGTGAAGAAGATGGAGCCGAACTGTTGTTAGATGTACAGCAAAAGGATAAATGGCAGTTATCACAGGTTTCAGCAAGGGAATTTCCAACTGTTTTGTGAAGGGCTTCACTATTAAAAAGATTGAGTGGAAGAGGTGCCCAGAGAGGCTGTAGAACCTCCATCCTGGGTGGTGTTCGAAGTGCAACTGGACAAAGCCCCAGGCAACCTAATCTAACTTTGAAGTTGCCCTGCTTCTTAGCAGGAGATTGGGCTAGATGACCTCTAGATGCCCCTTCTGACCTAAATAATATTATGATTCTGCAGCTTTATTGGTGTGTTCATTATAAAATGGCCTGAGTTGTAGCAGTTCTTTTGATTTGTTACTGGTAATGATTTTCAGCTATTTTAGAAATGAACTATTTATACCGTGTATTTTCAGTAAGTCATGTTTCAGGAGGAGAGATGTTTTGCTTTGGAAATCTGCTCCTGAGTCTCTCATGGCAACTGTATTTCATAGCCTTCCCTGATAACAGTACTGTAAAGGCTACTATTTTGTTTCATAATATGTGGAAAGCATTCCCCAGTTCCCATTTAATGAAAGTGTAGAGTATGGAGGGAAAGTCACTGATGTGCCAGTGTTGGGAGGCTTTGCTGAAAAGGCTTTCAAGGGGGAATGAAAAACTGTTGTTGATCATTGGAAGATAAAGTTTTCACTGAATTAAAAAAAAAAAAAAAGGTGAATAATAATCACTGGTGAAGGAAGGAAAGGAATAAATAAGTGGGAAGGTTGTAATGCAGGCAGGGAGTAGCGATTTGGATGAA